AACCAAGTTATTTGAGAAAACATACAGTGATTTAATTAAAAACACAGACTCAGGGCTGTCTACTACAGAAGCTGTTGGTTGGGAATCTCTCTTCAGCAACTGTTGTCCCTAAGAAAACAATGCTTTGGAAACCAGAGGCTGTAGGCATTGAGGCTCCAGCATTTTGTTTTCAGTTCAGCCTGGGTTCTTTTCACTTGACATATCACAGATGATCATAACTGGCTGTGTCGCTCATGCCGGGCTCCGGCTCATTCATCTCAATGTTTGCCACTTGTCTTCCTCTCCCGCCTGGTCCAGTGTGACACTCCCACACTTGAGTCTCATTCTGTCCTGCTCTGACTGTACCTCACGCCTCACTGCATTCAACTCCAGCCTCTTGACAAGTGCTCTTGGCTCCTTGAGACTTTCCAGAACAGCTCCTTGATGGGCTGTGCTGTTCTACAATCATACCTGACATCCATGTGTGTTTGCATTTGGCAGTAGCAGTCTTTGAGATGCTTACCCATACTTCCGCAGCTCTTACCGGTTTTTAGACCTAATTTCCTTTGATCACAGCAAGTAGCATGTTCATGTACGTGTGACCTTTGTGGTTATTAGAAGTTAGTCCCTTTTTGGATTATTTGAGCCACAATTGTGTGCCAGGGCTACATTGATGGGAGTTCCTGGCCCATATTTTTACTTCAAAATTCTCTGCATATCTGCTAAAAACGAAATTTCTCATATTCTCTCAGATGTTGTTTAACCTAAAACATGCACAATACCATTCTTGTTGAAGTTATTAGATTTAGGGAGTGTTGTAGCAGAAGACTAAATTAGTAAACAGATGATGAATGTCGAATAAATTATTTGACAAGGAACCACATTTCTTTTTAACTTCTAATAGTTGAAGGCTAAATACTATACTTGTGAAAATCATAGCACATGGTAACATAGCTGACATGCATTGTGTAATAGAGTGTTGTAAAATCTAATGGTAATGCAGTGATGCTGAAGTCATCTGACTCTGTTAGAGGATCCTTGGAGGTTGAATCTCAGATTATTTGTTGAATGTAGCCAGTTAGGGCCAAAGCTGGACTCCGCGTAGTGAATGCTGTAGGTTTTGAAGAAGGAGATGCCCAGCTCTGGGCTTTGGTCCTCCGGAACCGGCTTAACCTAATAGTTTTTTTCTGTTTTGAAGTCTGACATCAGCTCATGTGATTCCAGTGCTTAATGTGTCCGCTGGCCACAACAGTGGGCTCTTTGACACTGCATTTGTGTGGGAGAGACGGCCCCACTGGGGTTTGGGAAGACTTTCTTGTAACAGTATTTTGTATCATTTTGTCTGTGTTGGCTCCAAATGCTGCTGGGATCCTGACCTCCCACTCTGTCCTTGTCCCACAGGAAGACCCTGTTCCCAACGGCCTCCGGGCACTCCCAGTATTCTATGCTGCTACCATAGCAATCAATGTCTTTTCCATCATGTACACGGGAGCACCAGGTAAGGTTCCCTTGGAAGCATACTCCAGGGGCAAAGTGCATTGTATTCGAACAGTATCAGTTTATTTGGTGCTGGCCTTGTTGGCTGACAATAAAAACATTACTCATGATCATTATGGAATAGTAAAAAGAGTGGTAAATGCCTTTACTTATCTTAATTAAATACCCAAGAGATATGTAGCGTACAAAAGCAGCAGACTTTCAAGTTAGAAAAAAAAATTAAATCCCTACTCAGCTTGCTCAGCATCTCTGAGGTTTTTTGTGGAGGGGGTTAAAAAATTCTTTCTTTCTTTTTTTTTTTTAGTGAAGACGGATGATCTCACTCTATAGCCGGGGCTGGAGTGCAGTGGTGCAATCATAGCTCACTGCAGCGTTGACCTCATGAGTCCAAGCAATCCTCCCACCTCAGCCCCCTGAGTAGCTGGGACCCCAGGTGTGCGCCACCACACCCAGCTTTTTATTTTTCACTGTAACAGGGTCTCTCTATATTGCCTAGGCTGGTGTCAAAATTCTTAGCCTCAAGTCATTCTCCTGCCTCAGCTTCCCAAAGTGCTGGGATTACAGGTGTGAGCCACATGGTGCCTGGCCTAATTCTTTTCTTTTAGACCTCAAATAGGAAAAGAAATAAACTTATGCATGGTATCCTTATTTGCACCCATTTCAGCATTGATGAGCCGGCAACCTTCTGTTAAATATTTCTGTGCATGTCGGGTAGAGAATATTCCTCCCCTATTTGTGAGAGGCGCCTCCTCCAGCCAGACTGTGGGATGTGTGGCATCAACAGATGTGTTAGTTTGTGTGGGTTTTTATCTTGTTAATGTCCTTTATGGATGAGGATTCAGTTATTAGCCATATCTGACAGAAAAGCCTCCCTCTCTGTGTTTTAAAGATGAAATTTCTGCCAAATGACATGTCCTATCATAATCAAAAAGTGCCCTCTTCCAAAATAGTGGAAATCTTTATCACTTTCTCAAACTAGTTCTTCTCAATGTGAAGTTTCTCACATTTTATTACACATATCTAATTATATTTTATATGTTTCAGTATTGGAAATAAATTATTTCTAAATGATTCTAACATTATATAACCTTTTTGTGGCATCTGTGCAGCATTCAGAACATTGATCTTAAAGGTTTAAATACTCACTGTGGGGCTTCCAGACTTTGGGTGATTTGGGGATGAGGAAGGGGGAGCGCCACAGCTGCTTTAGGTGCTAGTAAAGCAGGAAGCAAAGGTTGTAGGGGTGAGGAGAGCAGGAGGAAGGTGAAATCCCAGCCACAGGTAACAGCAGCCTGCTGCCTCTTTCCGTTTTATAACTCATGGACTAGGAAGTGTGTTTGTCACTGCTTTTTGAAATATGTGCCCCATGATAAATTTTTTTTTTAAAAGTGAGGCCAGGTGCGGTGGCTCACGCCTATAACCCCAGCACTTTGGGAGGCCGAGGAAGGCAGATCACTTGAACCAGGTCAAGAGTTCGAAACCAGTCTGGCCAACATAGTGAAAATACAAAAATTAGCCAGGCATGGTGACGCAGCTATCTATCTGGGAGGCTGAGGCAGGAGAATCGCTTGAACCCAGGAGGTGAAGATTGCAGTGAGCCAAGATCCCACCACTGCACTCCAGCCTGGGTGACAGAGCAAGACTCTATCTCAAAAACAAAACAAGAAAAAACAATTTTTTAAGCGAGTGACAGAGAAAAACCAGTTCCACACCACGGAGTTGAGCACGCCACCTAGTGTGTGATTCCTTCAGGCATCTCTTAGTGCCAGGCACTTGGAAGGTCCGGAGCGCTGGATTGGAAGTGAACTCTATAGCGGGAGATAGCTTAGACCTTGTTCTTATTTTATATGGGCTTTTAGAGCCGAAGTTAGCTGAGCAGAAAGCAAAGTGTCCGCATTCACCAGACGCCGCCTGGGTTGGTGACTTAGGAGCCTGAGCCAGTGAAAGCTGAGGATGCCTTCTGTGGTGCCAAGTCCTGCACATGGGAATTGGCATCGATATGGATGGGATCTGTTTCTGCATTTTATTTTTGCCACCCTCTATTCTTTTTGCTTCCTGGCTCTTCTACCAACTGTCAGAAGAAGACAATTTTGATTTTTAATACAAATCTGACTTTTTCTATACATGGCCCTTTTTTCGCATCTCTTCTTGTCCCCATCTTTTGGCTGCAGTTGGCGCATTTGCTAAAAGTGTCATCTTACCGGGAGACTAAATTACCCTAGGGGAAATTAAAGTATGTAATGAATGAGACTCTAAGAATAATATAAATACTTTATGTGGTTGTTGTGAGAAATAAATAATATAAATGTATTGAACTGAGCTTTACGTGGATTAATCCTTTAGTCCTCCCAACTACTCGTGGAGATTGGTAATATAAATAATCTCATGTTACAGGTTGGAAACGGAGGCAGGGCAATGCTGAGTACCCAAGGTCCCGTAACTGATAGGATGTAGAACCAGGATTTGAGCCAGGCGTCTAGTCCTGAGCCCCAGCATCTTAGCTGTGACATTATACAGATACAGGTAGCTTCAAACACCACATATAATGCCTGGTATGTAATGTTGCTATTCATGACAATAAAAATTGCATCAACCTTAACAAATTCTTTCTCTTCTCTTAACTCCCTTTAAAAATGTCTTCCAGTATATTTGGAAACCTGGCTAATACACACACACACACACACACACACACACACACACACACAAACACAAAGATGGAGTCTTGCTCTGTCTCCCAGGCTGGGGTGCAGTGGTGTGATCTCGGCTCACTGCAGGAGAGGGTTCAGGGATTCTCCTGCCTCTGCCTCCCAAGTAGCTGGGACTACAGGCAAGCGCCGCCGCAGCCAGCTAATTTTTTTATTTTTAGTAGAGACAGGGTTTCACCATGTTGGCCAGGCTGGTCTTGAACTCCTGACCTCAGGTGATTAGCCTGCCTTGGCCTCCCAAAGCGCTGGGATTACAGGCGTGAGCCACTGTCTCTGGCTATTTTTGTATATATTTAATACACTAGTTAGTGTGAAGAAGCCTCCACCTCCTTAACTAGGAATATAAAAAATCTGGGCTGGTGATGGTGGTTCACACCTGGAATCCCAGCACTTCTGAAGGCTGAGGAGGGAGGATCACCTGAGGCCAGGCGTTCAAGACTAGCCTTGGCAACATAGCAAGACCCATCTCTACAAAAATAACAATAATAATAATAATTGTAAAATCTGTACGGGGGAGTAAGGCTATTATGAACTATGATCATGCCACTGCACTCAAGCCAGATGACAGAGCGAGACCCTGTCTCAAAAAAAAAAAAAATCGGTATAAGGATCTTGAAGTTCATTATTACCTCAAAGCACAAGCAGTATTCCCAGTCCTGAAGTTGGCGTTAGGTTCTGTAGTTGGGTGGCTGTTCCGTGGGAATGTGACTTTACCTCCCCTCCCTAAGTCTTATCCCTGATTATAAAGTAAGGCCAGGAGTAGCATCTCCGCTCAAGGGACACTACAGTCCCTGAGATAATGCAGGCAGGGCTCCTGGCACAGTGCCTAGCATATCATCAGTGCTTCATACGGTCATTTGTGCCTTCCTCTCCTCCGAGGTTGGCTCTAGGACCTCCGTGGATACCAAAATCCACGGATACTCAAGTTCCTTAAGTTGGCCACCAGTATCACTGGACCCATGGATGCAGAAGGCCAACTGTGCCTGTTAGAGGCTATTTTGTTACCATCAGTCATAATTAACCTAACCCAGTCTTTAGGCCTTAACTTGCCAAAAACTCCTGAGTCATCCTGTCTTTCTGGTTTTCCACATTTGTTTGTATGGAAAAATTCTTACTTGAAGTTTTCTAAGGGGCTTGCCTAGAGGAGAAGAAGGTCATGGCTCTGAAGGTCCAACCGTTTTGTTCTTGCAATTAGTCAAAAGGACTTTGCTTGGGAGGCCGAGGTGGGTGGATCACAAGGTCAAGAGATCGAGACCATCCTGGCCAACATGGTGAAACCACGTCTCTACTAAAAAAAATACAAAAATTAGCTGGGCATGGTGGCACATGCCTGTAGTCCCAGCTACTTGGGAGGCTGAGGCAGGAGAATTGCTTGAACCCAGGAGGCGGAGGTTGCAGTGAGCCGAGATCGCACCACTGCACTCCAGCCTGGCGACAGAGTGAGACTCTGTCTCAAAAAAAAAAAAGGACTTTGCTAATATTTGGATTCCTAGAGAATATTTCTAGAATGTCCTTTTACCCTTCAATCTAGACTTGAATTACATGCCGTTTCTTCAGTATGAGTTATCTCTGCAAGTCCAGCTGTATCATCAGTAATCGTGGTGTCCTATTTTGTGTTTTTAGTGTTTTGATTTTCTCTGCTGTCTACTCTAAATTATTGTGAAGTTGATTATTGCTTAGGCTTAGTTTGATTTCTTGCAACCTCTGCTTCCCGGGTTCAAGTGATTCTCCTGCCTCAGCCTTCTGAGTATCTGGGACTACAGGCACGTGCTACCACGCCCAGCTAATTTTTGTATTTTTAGTAGAGATGGGGTTTCACCACTTTTCCTCAAATAAAAGTCATTCTTGCACTTCAAAGACTAAGTTCACACTTTGAAAAAATTGTCTTTGAGTTTTTGTTCTTAAAAAAATTATTTGCAAGGATTAAAAAAATAACTTTAGGAAATGAAATGCTTACTTGGGTTGGATGCAAGCCTAAGGTTCAATTTTAATGAAAACGTCTTCAGTTGTGTGGTTTTTGATCAGTGTTGAAACAGTGAATGCTAAAGTTCATGGCATGCCCCTTCTGAACAGTCAAAGCGGGTACCCAGTTAAGCCTCTGGTAGGCACCTTCTAAGGCAACGTGTGGTCCCAGCCAGCAGCAGCATGCAGAAACTTGTCAAAATGCAGATTCTGAGGCCCAGCCCTGGACCCACTGAATGGGAGACACTGCAGTCCAGTGTGCTTTAATAGGGGAGCCTCAGTGATTCGGACAGACGTTTGCAGTTTGAGAACTCCTGCTCTAGGCATGTCTCTT